AAGGGGGGGGAGGGGACATCTGTAATACTTTCAATAAAGATAATTTTTTTAAATAAAAATAAATTGAGATAGATATACAGATATATAAGTAGGAAGATAAGCCTGGATATTCCATCTTGTTTCTTTGATCTGTCTAGATAACAGTGTTAACGAAAACAAAATAATCCAAGTAGCAGCTTCATGAATATGTGGGAAATCATTTCAGTAACATTATTCACTAAGAGCTTTTTATGCATGAAGCACTACTCTAATGGCTTAATAAACCTATTTAACCCTCATAAGAACCCTTAGATACTATTATGATTCCATTTCATAGTTGAGAGATCTAAGGCATAAACTCAGTAGATGAACTGTACTTTCCCTCATCAGTAAGCAACATGGAAAGCAGGGTTATAACTCTTTTTTAATAAGAGGCATTTTATTAATCCTTACTGGAGGATATTTTTCCATTGCTTTTCAGCAAGAGAGTGGAAGGGAGAGAGGAAGGGGGAGAGAGAGAGAGAAACAATATCAATGTGAGGGATATACAGACTGGGGTGGAGAGAACCTGCAACCCAGGTACATGCCCTTGACTGGGAATTGAACCAAAGACCCTTGTGCCCATGGGCTACCACTCTAACCACTAAGCCAAACTGGCCAGGGCAGTTATAACTCTTTTTAATGGTATTTGGTAGAGTTGCAGTTCATTTATGTGCTCCCTGATATTAGACGTGGCAACATAATTTATATTTTTTCACCATAAAGAAATCTTAAGACACTTTTTATTAAGTTTATAAGACCTTAATTCATTTTCAAGTTGAAAATTTGGCTAGAGGCTGCAAAATTAAAAAAAAAAAAAAAGCCAAAACATATACACACACAAACTCAAGCCCACACTGTATTACCACAAAAATAATTCTATTTAAAACATATAACACAAATATTAACCTTCTAAAATTAGTATATCCAAGAGAACAAACCAACACTAAATTATACTTTCTTCCTAACAGGTACAAACATGTTAAATATAAAGTTCATCCCCTCAGGTTGGGTTTCTGAGGGGATGGGTCTCTCACTGGGGAGCAGGGGAGGCCTTTAAGATTCTAAGTAAATCACACAAAGTCCCCATTCCACCAGCAATAATGCTATATAGACTAATAGTCACTTCAAATGATTCCTCAGAATGCACAGCTACTTTCTGATAATTAAGCTGATAACTAGCCAATCAGAAAAGTTACGTCAGAATAAAGACACAACTGATTTACGGGTGCCTGGGGAATGACAGCCTGTGAATATTCTATTTAAGCTAATTACTTAGGCAGAGTAGTGACACTAGAATTTCATGGTTTCCATCACTATTCATAAATCAAAATGATTTACAATCTTTAACTGAATAATATTCAGGGACTGGCGCTGTGAGAGAATTTTCTCCTATATATCAGTCGCATAAGCTCTAAAACATTTAATGCCCAGTGCCTATGAGGATAAGTGAAAACTGATTTTCTCTAAAGACACTTAGACTCATTATTTCTTGAGAGTTAAAACTGGAATTTGGTCTTTATATGATCTTTCTATTACCAAAATAATTGAAAATAAACATTTTTATTCTAAAAACAAGAGTCAAATAATATTAGAGTTCATCTAATATTCCACTGAAGTTAAAAGGATTGTCTTAGAATAAACCAGAAAAACTGACAGTTTTAGAATAAACTAAAAACAGTGCCAGTCAGTAATCTAAAAGAATCTGATGAATATTTTTAGTTTTTTTATTGAATATTTGAATATTCATTTGGCTAAACTGAGTAACTGGCTTCCTGGTTTGCTCCCTATAGAATGAAAGTGAGCTGTGCTTCCCTTCCCATCCTTTCCCACGGAGAGTCAAAGAAAGGAGACTGGGATCAACCTAATAATCAGCCCAGAGTAGCCATCATAGTTCTCTGCCATCACAAATATTCTTTTCCCACTAGAAAGCAATGTTTCTAGAACTTATGCCTAAGAAAAATAACTTCTAAGTGCTTTAGACCACACCTGAAACTGCATTCAATGACCCAGAAATCAGTCTCCATCTGAACAGAGTGCTCAAGGCCAATTTCAAGTGCATCCCTTCAAAATAACACAGCAAAAATACTGTTTTCTCTCACAGTCTCTTGTCAAGGCACAAGAAGAGTCTAGAACTGCTGTGCAGGCAAAAAAGTCACCTAAAACTGAAAGACAGCACTGCATAATGGTTAGTAACACAGACTCGGAGCCTAGGTTTTTTTAAATTTGGCTTGAAAACTTGTTAGCAATGAAGTCCCTGTGCCTCAGGTCCCTCTTCTGTAAAACAGGCAGAGTAATGATAATGTGTCCTCATTATGAGGATTAGATGAGTGAACATTTGCAAGGCATTTAAAACAGGTCCTAAAACACAGTAAGTATTATACATTTGATTGGTTAAAAACAGTAAAGCTGATTTTGTTAGAAAAATCACTGTTATTGTTTTAAAAAGCTAATGCTTAAGTAATTAACACTTTAGTGAATGAATACATCCTGATTAAAGAAAGCCATGTCCATGGTTACCTTGCTTGATTTAAGAACTTTAATGTGTTCTTCAAAAACAGTGTCTTTATTCTTTTCCAGAAAGCCTTCACACTGGTATTCCACCTGAAAACACATGGAAAAAGCTCCTTAACTAATAAAACTTTTGAATAGATATAATCATCAACAACAAAATATTTATTAAGCTTAGGCTATATGACTAGCAATCAGAAAAGTGGTTACCACTGGTTTTGTTCTAAGAAACTACAAACTGGGTAAGGAGTATGTTAACCCTAGAATAAAACTCACCAAACACTGTTTTTCCCAGAGAACAGCGGTAGTGCTAAGCAACTGCTCTAAAAGACCCTCTCAAGTCATGGGTAAACAGACTCATCTGAAGTTAATTCTCTTCACCCATGCTGGCAGCTCCTCCAAAGCTGACCCAATGTATCTCCTTCTAACCTAGTTCACCATGCAGCAGAGGTAAATCTCCTCTTGGGAGGGAAGGTCAGAAGGAACAAATGGCTCACTGACAGAAGAAAGTAGAAGAGCTGCCGATGGATGGAAGTGGAGGCTGGTAAATACTCTATGATTTGGCAAGTGGAAATACTTGAGAATGGACTATTCCTGCTTCCAAAACCCCAGCGACTTAAGCCCTACCATACAAGGGGCTCCCAGCCTGTACCACAAAGCCCTTAGGTGGCCCTAAAGTCATTCCAAGGTTTCCAGTCAGAATTAAGCAGGACTCAAAAGGCCCCCAAATCCTGACGGAGACCCTGAGAAGCTTACTCCACAGCCTATCCTACAACTTCCTTGGAACATAAATTAGTCCTACAGCTCTTGATTTTTCTCAGTAGACTAACTATAGAATTTGTGGGGCAGCAAGTCTGCCTGCCTTGCTACTAGGGACCCAGTGAATCAACAACAGAGAGTGACACAAGTCCACAGTTTCTATTCTGAAACCCTTGGGGTCAGCTATGCTTTAGAGCTCAGAATTTTTCAGCAAAGTCCGAGGGAGCAAACTCTGGTCAAATACATTATTTCTCCACTGAAATATGTAAATATCCAGCCTAACTGGGATAAGTAAAGACTATAAAAAACCTCATGTTAGTTCAGGTCAGAGATTAGGTTTAGCCACTAGATAAATTATGAAAAGACTTTTGGTTTTCAGAGTTTCTTGAATTTCAAAATTATAGACAAAGGATTGTACACCCATATTTATTTCATAATTCCACTTAACTTAAAGGAAAAGAAAAACAACAAGCCAACAATCAAGATTACTTTTCCTATAAGGCCCTAAAGAATGCAAACTTCAGCCAAGAAAAAAATGATGCCTCTTGACTACTGATTTTTCCCCTCTTTGAACTTAAGTATTCAAAAAGAGAACAAATAGAGCTTCCTTACTTTGTCAGCAAAATGTTGGATGATGAAAGCTTTGTTTGACATACGGGGCTTTTCAAAGAGGGCACATTTGTTCAAATGTGTGTTGTACAATTTCTGGGCCCAAGTGTCATCTGTACCTTTAGGCATCTACATTTAATTTAAAAAAAGAGAAAAAAAACAAGGTGAATATTGTTATGAGACATTTATGATGCATTAACTAAGAGACCATTTTTCATATTCAATTTAGGAACTCATTTCTTCCACATTTCTCTCTTACAGGCCAAGAACCAATTATTAACAGAGAACAATGACTGAGACCTTCCCATGGCAACTCAATCTGCCTATAGCAGGAGTCATCAAATAAATATTCAACTTTCTTTTAAAACAATAAAAGCCTCACAAATGAAAGATGAAATATCATGATTATCATGTATTTTCTAAAAACTTATTAAGGTAACATAGTGAATATCTATGTAACTCAGAAAGGTATAAAAGGGAGAGTAGTCTCCTCTCACCACTCCAGTCAACTTCTTTATCTTTCTGTCTCTAAAGGCATATAAGCAAATAGGATATCTATAAACTCATTGCATTTTTCTTCTTAGTAATAGCATTCTTGTATTTATGGTCACTGTGTTGTTACTGATTTTTATAACAATGACTTCTTTTACATATATACCCTGGATATGTTTGCAAGTATATTCAGAGGGTAAACTATATGTATTTACATATATATATGTATATATATGTATTTATAAAATATGTATGTATTTACAAATTTGATGAATATTGTCAAATTCCTCTAAAATATGTTGTACTAATTCATGTCCTTCATCAAGAATATATATGCAATAATATTCATTTGGTAGTATAAAATGAAAGGCATTATTAAATTTAAACTCCTGACAGGCAAAAAACAATAATTTGTTTTTGTGTTGACTTGCATTTTAGTTAACTTTGAGTAAGGCTGAGGATCTTATATGCATTCTGAATGCTGCAGAAAATCTGATGCTTAGGAGGATCAATCTATGTTTCAGTTGTAGCTTACGGCATATAAACTAAATAAATTAAAAGAAAGAATAGGTTATTTGTCTCAGATCACTCAATTAGCAGTAAAGTTGGGATCTCATATTTTTCTAACATGCTGCATCTTCAAATTTAAAGCTAAAATTCCCTCCCTACCACACTTATCAGTAATAAAGGACTAGTCAAATTTTAAATTATGGATATTTAGAACAATTATTCAAAATATCTTTTGTAATTTCTTGCATTTCATTAACTATAGCATACAACTGAACAAAGTACCAAATGTAAGCATACTGATTAAGAGAAGTGTCTAAAATTAGTAGTAGCTGTATCAAATGTCAATTTTTCATGTAACTTAGAATTAGCTAAAAAGAGAAGGGAAATTCTCCTAGTTTCACTTGTATTTAAAGGCCTTTCGGTCTAGCGGCCCTTCAAAATGCAAGTTAGAATGACCCCCATAATGGCACCTCATAGTAGACTATGAATCTCCGCTTTAACCCACTTACCTTCTGACCTTGCTAAATCTGGATACACTAAGTACATCAGGGAATCATACTCACTTTGCATTCCTCATCCAGCAAATCTAGAATGCCCAGTTTAGATTCTATAAGATTAATGCAAGGCTGATTATCATAAAAATCTATGAGAGTCCATGGAATTTGTTCCTTCATATATTCCTCTTGTTCTAATTTGAAGACATGCTGAAATCAAAAAGAAAAAAAGTGGCATTACTGCATCATTATCAGAAATGATGTTAGTCAAGAAACAACATTATGTAAAACACTCTAAGATACCAACATAATTTGAGATCATCCATGGCTTTTCCAGCAACAACAATCTCGTGGGAGAAATATGATTTACACAAAGAGAACAGGAAAATAAAGCAAACAGAAACCACAAACAGTAAACAACTACACAGGGTTCTTGATGAACAAGGAAATCTAGGTATGCAAATATTTTAAGTAGCTGACAAATGTAGCAGTTTTCAATTTTGGATATGTATTTATCCAAACTATATACATTTTGGCCTCTTAAGTTATTGCATAGTGCTGTTAAAATACAGGCACAGAAATGCCTTCGCTGGCCTTGAACAGCTCTGCAAGTGGATACCCTCCAGACTACTGAACCATGCTGGGTGATGCTTATAGCATAACAAAGTAATTCTGTTAAGGGACTGGGGTTGAAGTTCAGGTTCCTCTGAGTTAGGTAACAGTTGGTCTTTTGTGTCTGCCTTGATTATTCTGCAGAGTCAGGAAATCCACCACTCACTTTTCTGGATTCTACATCTAACTCTGCAAGCAACTGGCTTCACTATCAATTCATGCTATTTCTGCTTCGGCCACCACCCTCACCATTGCTTCTAATCTTCAGTCATTCACTTAAGTAAAAATATGTACTGACTGTCTACCATGTGCCAGTCACCAAACACCATTAACAAACAGATGTGGGCTCTACCTTCTTGAAGTTTGGAGACTAGTGGGAGAAGCAGACAGAAATCAAATAATCACAGGGAATATAATTACAAACTGTAATCTTACAGAGGAAAATAACATGACTATGAGCAAGTGTTCTCGTCTAATTTGAACACAGTGGTGAGCGAAGGCTTCCCTGAGGAAAGGCTGTGTGATCTGAGCTCTGCAGATGAAGGGGAGTTAAGTGAGTCCAGGTGGGAAGGGCAATCCCACCTCTGCTTCAGGCCACCCAGCCAATGCAGGCCACCCACAACTTCTAGTCTCTGCAGATGCTAATGATCTCCATTTATAGATCTGAGGGGTTTCTGCTTTCTTCTTTCTTGTCTTCCTTGGCTTGAGCACACATCTTTCTACTTTTCTGTTAAGATTAGCCCTCTGTGGCTATGACCAGATGACACATATTAGGACCAAAACCCCATAAAAACTTAAGTGCCACCAAGATTTCTGATCCATACTCTCTTATAATGCCATTCTTGGGTCATCTGCAGCATTTGTAATCTAACCAGCTGCAATAAGCTTTAGTCAAAAAAACCTGGTCATCTGTATGAATATTTATGTCATGCTAATTAGAAAGCAAATTTCTCCTATTCTTTTGATTAATGAGAAGGCAAATGAGTACCATGTGTTGGCAGGATGCCCTGATTGATGGTACCAATATTTTCTAAAACAATGAGCCCTCCTTTTAATTCATTAATTTATATGCAGTCTCCACACTGACAACAGAAACATGGCTCTGGGCTTTAAAACAGGGCTTTTTTCTCATGCACATCTCTATGTCTAAGTTTGGAAAGTGAATGGGACTCAACAATTTTGGATGCTCAACTGTCAAAAAGACAATGTGGCATGATGCTCAAGATGGCAAGAGATCCTGGTCAACACGGCAATGCCTCCGCGCACTAGGCATGCCAGTCCATGTCTTTCATGCCCACTGCCGAGGGAGCAGCCCTAAGCAACCAAGTTCCTTACTGTGAGACCCCGTGTTCCTAGTCACAGCTGACTAGGCCAAGTGTGGGTATTTGAGGGCACTCTAACTGCCAGAAACCTCTGATGAAAAATGAACGGGGTAATCAGTAGAAGCTGCAGCTGAAAAAAGTCCAGAAGGATGCCAGGTAAGCAAGTTAAGAGAATGGGAGGCGCATTCCAACCACTTCTGGGTTCACAGGAAGTACGAAGTGAGTAAGCAGAAACCCTAAGGTAAAGAAAATACATACAGAATAGAAGAATATGCCATCTAATAATAAGAGGGAGGGAGTGGAGCGGCTGTGCAGAGATGCAGTATGGTGTGTGGTATGCGGTGTGCGGTGTGTGGTGTGTATATAGGACAGAGGGAAGGAGGGGGAACAGATGGATAGAAGCAGAAAGAGAAACAAGAGTCAGAAACACACATTCAGAGGCCTGAGGCCTTTGAGAGACAGACAGTCCCTAATGAGGCTGGCACTGGTTCCTTAGTACTTCCAGTCACCCTGTACCAGAATGTGCTGGGGAAGAGCAGAAGGCTGTGGCACTGATTAAAGTATTGAGAAATATTAAGAATCTATGAAAAACCTTGACAAAAGATAATGTTCAATTTGGTCTCTTACGGGTTTTTATTAATGTTCCTGATGCAGAGATGAAAAATACACCATCATGTTCTTATGAAAACAGTCAAAGCCTAAGGTTTCAAGATCACCTCTACCTCATTTCACTGTGCTAAGTAGCTTAATCTGCTAAATAAAGATGGTCCAGATTTTTATCAAAGTATATGCAATATATTTTTTAAATCAAACAGTCTACAAGTTTTATGACAAAGCAACAATCCCTTGTCTCATCCCTCCTCACTCCCTGGTGGCAACCACTTTATAACTCCCTTAGCTATTATTTTAAAAATTGATTTGAGAGAGAGAAACATTGATTTATTGTTCCACTTATTTATGCATTCACTGGTTGATTCTTACATGTGCCCTGACAAGGGATCAAACCTGTAACCTTGGCATATCAGTTTGACACTCTAACCAACTGAGCTCCCCAGCTAGGGCATTACTCCCTTAGATATTTCTTCTGATATTCACCTTTAAAGAATATGCTTATCAGCTATTTTTAAATTTATTTATTTGAAACATTATCTATTGATTTCTTGATAAGATAGATGAGGCTAAATTCACATATATCACCTCTTAATTGCTATTTTAAAATCTTGTTTTTACTAATTTTGTAACTAAAATAATATCTTTAAACTTCTATTTTTTTCTTCATTGACTATAGACTATACCACTTGGCCTCTGTCTCTTTGTAAAAAGAAGATATTTATTAAGGGCTCTTTTCCTGTCCTTAAGCTCTCTTCTCTTCCATGTATCTTCCAGTTCCTGCAGGTGACTCATTTTTATACCCTCTTTCATCAATACTAATAACTGGCACTAATCTTGCACTAAGAACTGCTCCTGGCATGTGGTGAGCACTTTACATATCCCAACTCATTTAGTCCATAGAACTATATGCAGTAGGTACTATTATTATGCCCATTATACAGATGAGGAGACTAAGGCCAGGAAAGTCAATTAACTTGCCCAAAGTCCCCTGGATCAAAGCAGAGTAGGACTGTAACCCAAGCAATTCACCTCAGGGGCTCTGTGCTCTTCACTATTACAAGGTGCTACCCCTCATTTTTAAGTGCCTTCAAATCCCTCAACATCATCATGATGATCTCAGGTATTTGATATTACTACCTCACAAGAGGCACTCTCAAAATATGCCCAATGCCATTGTCTCTATGAATGTTTCAAACTGTTGAAAAGAAAATATGAAAAAAATATGTAGAAAAGAGAGTATGTTCTGAACTTTTGTTCAGGCATCTTGCAAAGAGTTAAGATAGTCATAACTCCACATATAATTAGCCCCAGGAACAACAGACTGAAGGATATCCCTAAGCTCAAAACTTTCTGCTTCCCTCACTCAACTAATTTGTATAAAATATTCACTATTCTCCACAGCAATCCAAGGCTGACCTTGAAGCCTCTTTGACCATAAACATTTTTCTACTGTTGCATCATTTATTAATCATAAGTTCCTCAGCAGTTTAGCTGTTCTGAACACCAGGTAACAGTTCTAACTCATAACTTCGTTTCAGGAACCAGACTTTAAATGCAGAGTAGGAATTTGAGAAAATGATCTATAGCAGATTATAAAAAGAAAAATCTTACCAGATTGAACTGCTGCTGTAGTTTTTCATTTGCATAATTTATGCAAAACTGTTCAAAACTATTTATCTCAAATGTTTCAAATCTGTAAAACCAAAAATAATATGGGAAGAGAAAAGGGAACAAGTAGTTTGTAAAAAATATTCAAAATGTACATATTAGAAAGAAATAGGAAATTCCCCAACATTGTGAAACTTTCCTTCTACATCAGTGAAGATAAAGGTCTATGTCAGTAACATGGGATATACACCCAGCAGATAGGCATCAGTTGAGTGGCAGAGAGATTTTTTAAAAGACTCCAGTATGTAGATGTATTCAACAGGATGAGTTTTTGAGGGCTAACTCATCCCCGAGTGGCAACACTTGGTATTATGATAAAGCCATTGCTCTTGTCAATGTATAGACCCAGTGTCTACACACACATAGAAGGGAACTGGGAATAGAGATTGCATAGGTTCTTTGAAAAACTGAACCAGATAATGAAAAATTAGGCATCAAAAAGCACAACTGTACAGGAGGGAGTTAAACAGTTAAAGAAGGGTACCCAGAGAAGGAAAACTAGCAAATGAAATTAGATTTTTAGAAATTCTCTTCTAATTTTCCCTTCTTACCAGTAGGAGACAGAATCAAATGCCCATGTAGAGTTACTAGAAAATCTCCAGGAAGAAATGCTCTCTGGCAGGTCACTAAGCCAAATATACCTACCCATAAATGTCCAGCACTCCAATAAAAGAGTGCTGTTTGACTGCAGAATGGAGAGCCTGATTGACATGATCTACGATCCAGTTAAAAAGCTTCGCATAGATGTGCTTGGCTAAAGCATCGCGGGCATTCGTGGCCTGCAGCTTGGAGATGGGCTTGATGTACGTCTCCGTGGCAGTGGCCAGCTTCCGATGGCAGAGCCAGTGACACATCTCCTCATAGTCCACACCCATGAGGTCACAGAAGATGCTGAGAGGTTCATGCTTGGGCTGCCGAAAGAGAATGGGTTATTTCCTATGACAAGATCAATCAAATAAGAATTTACTACAAAATACTAACAAAGTGGTAACAAAACCCAGCAATTTCTTGGTTATAATAAACACCAAGATCACTAAAAGCTGATCAGTGATGACAATCAAGATCACCCATCAAACCAGCATCTAGGCAGCATTTGTAATCTCTTCTGGGGCTCATTTCAAAAATCACCTGTCTCTTCAGAATGTTTGTATCTCTTTTCAGACACATTCAGTCGGTCAGTCAGAAAATCAGTCAGCCTGCCAACAAATATTTACTGAGTGCCTATTATATGCCAGTAAACAAAAACAGATGTGGTTCCTGTCCTAAAACTTATAGTTTTAGGGGAAATGGATATTCATCAAATAATTGCTCCCTAAAATGTAATATCGCTACAAAGGAAAAGGGTACCACAGTAAGATTTCCATGTGAGAGGCATGTGCCCTTTTCAGGGAGGCAGGAGACAGCTGCCTTGAGATGGGAGTTCAGATTTGAAAGAGGAGAAGGTGTTAAGTCCGTGAAAGGGTGGGGAAAGGGTCTTCCAAGCTGAGGGAACAGCTGATGTAAAAATCCTGCAGTGGGAAGGTGATGGTCACTATGAAGGAGGGAGTGAGGGAGGGAGAAGATGTATGTGATGAAGCCAGAGGCAGGCAGAGGCTATACCACGGCTAGTCTTTATCCTGAGAGCAAAGGAGGGCAACTAAAGGGTTTTAAAAAGATAACTTGATAGTTATTTGTGTGACTTCTTACATTAGAATCTCTCTAATCACTTACATGAGTAGACATTCAATAAATATCTGTTTAATTTAATCCACATTAGTGTATTATATTTTTCAAATCTTCATTCACATGTTTCAATGGAATCTGATAACATGCCTCGGGGGTAGGCAGGACAAATACTGTAATCTCTAATTAACAGATGAGGAAATGAGATCCAAAAAAATAGCTTGTCAAAAAGTCAGATAGCCATTTTATGTCAGAATTGTTGTTAGAACCTGGGCTTCCTGGCCCCTCATCCCCTGACCCTTCCCGCTGAAGCAGTCCCTTCCTTCTTTCATCTCCCTTCCTCCGAAGTAATCATTTCAGATACAAATCAGCACCATTACCAACAGCATGGTTCAACTCCCTTAAATAAGCAGTTTATTTTACTCATACATAGACAAATGATTTCATATCATTTTTTTTTATCCTCTCCCGAGGATATTTTTTCCATTGCTTTTCAGAGAGAGCAGAAGGGAGAGAGAGAGAGGGAAACACCAATGTGAAAGAGACACACTGGTTGCTTCCCGCACTCACCCTGAAACGGGGCCGGGCATCAAACCTGCAGCCCATGGACATGCCCTTGGCTGGAATCAAACCCAAGACCCTTCGATCTGCGGGCCGACGCTCTCACCGCTGAGCAAAACCCGCCAGGGCAGATTTGGTATCATTTAAAAGTGAATCGTAGCCCACCTGGGCGTGGCTCAGCGGTTGAGCATCGACCTAGGATCCAGGTGATCGGGGTTCGATTCCCAGTCGGGGCACATGCCCGGGTTGCGGGCTGCAGCTGATCAATGACTCTCTCATCAATGATGTTTCTATCTCTCTCTCCTTCTCCTTCCCTCTCTCTGAAATCAATAAAGATATGTTTAAAAAAAATAAGAAAATTTAAAAAAATAAAATGTTTAAAAAAAAAAAAGAAAAGTGAATCGTACTCTCTAAACATTCTAGTTGAATGGTTTTATTGTATTGTTCTATTAGATCAGGGGTGGGGAAACTTTTTCTGCCAAGGACCACTTGGATATTTATAACATCATTCATGGGCCATACAAAATTATCAACTTAAAAATTAGCTATTACAAAAGCTCCTAGGTTTATTGAATTTTGAGTCCTGCCTGCGGTTTCCTTGGCAGGGCCGGACCAAGAGCCGGACATTCCCCACCCCTGTATTAGATCAAGGATGTTAACTGTTTTATTCAAATGTTCTAACTTTACTAATTTTTTAATTTCATCTACCAATAATCGAGAGAAGTCAATAATATACCATTATAATAGATGTGTTGGTTTCTTCCTGTGGTTTCGGTTGTTCTTTGCTTTATACGTTTGAAGGCCACATCATTACATACATGCCAAACCTAGAGCTACTGCACCTTCCAGGTGAATGAATCCTCTCACTACATATGGACTCTACTTATCTCTAGTACTGCTTTTGGCCTCAAAGTCTATTTTGTCCAGTATCAATATAACTCTGCCAGTTTTTTCCTAGCTATTATGGTGTGTCTTTTCTAAACCTTTTATTTTCAAACTTTCTGTATCGTGTTTTAGGAATCCTTCTTTTAAAAGTATATACCTGAATTCTTAAACCAGTCTGACAATTCATTTTAACTGAAACATTAGTCCATTTGTAATTATTTATTTCTATCCTGTTTTATGACTTTATTTGTCCCACTTTCTCTAAATACTTTCTTTCCCTTTCTTGATATATTTAAATTATGTTTTTTAGTCTATTTTCCCCTCTACTAGTTTGATAGGTTTACTTTCTGTTTCTAATTGTATAAAAGAAGTGTTAAGTTATATTAGTTAACTCAATCTAATTAACTTATACTAACTCTAGTACTTTAGTTCTATCTTTCTGGGAGAGAGGAGGGACTGGTGATTTACTTTATTTTTTAAACTTTTTATTTTGAATTGATTTTAGACTAATAGAAAATTGCAAGTACAGTACAAAGAATTCCCTTCATCCAGAGTCCCTAGAAACAGTATTAACATTTAACATTTGCTTATATCATTTTCTTTCTCTCTCACTCCTTCACACATATAATCACAAATTTTTTTTCACAACCTTTTGAGAATAAGCTGCAAACATAACACCCTTTTAGTCCTAAATATTTCACTGTGCACATCCTAAAAACCAAAAGCACTATCTTACATATCTATGGTATAATAAATAAAATCAGAAAATTAACAATGATACAAACTCATTATCTAATCTATAGATGTAATTCAATTTTTGCTGATTGACCTAATAATGTCCACTGTGGAAAAACAAACACACAAAACATTTCTATGGTCCATGGTCCAATCTCGGTTCATCCAATGAATTCAGTTATCATGTTTCATTAATCTTTTTATTTTTAAAATTTTTTTTTATTGATTGATTTTAGAGAGAGAGGAAGGGGGGAGAGAGGGAGAGAGGCAGAGAGAAAAACATCAATTTGTTGTTCTACTCATTTATGCATTCATTGGTTGTATGTTCCCTGACTGGGGATAAAACCCTCAACCTTGGCATATTCAGATGATGCTGCAACCAACTGAGCAACCTGGCCAGGGCTCATTAATCTCTTTTAATCTGAACACTTCTTCACTCTTTTTTTGTCTTTAGTGATCTTGACTCTTTTTTTTTAATTGTTGTTAATCCTCACTGGAGGATATTTTTCCATGAATTTTTAGAGAAAATGGAA